AAAAGTTCCAGTCATGTCTAGCAAATGAATATGCTGGAGTTTGTTTTTGGATGAGTGTTTTTTTCTTCTTCTAGATTTTTCTTGAAACCCTCCCCAACAACATTTGGTGATGTAGGGGCTGTTTGAATTTTATTTTTTTTTATAGGGTTTCTGACCCGAGACTCAAATATTTTCTACAGTTCTCCAGCTGTGATCTTACTCAGAGGCAGATTTGTAACATCTTTAGTTAATTGGAACCTCTTCATTATTGCCCCGATGGTGGAAATGGGGATTTTAAATGCTTTGGCTCTTTTCTTACAGCCACTTTCTATTTTGTGAAGTTCAACAATTTTTGCTGCACATCAGAAATATATTCTTTGATTTTACTCATTGTGATCAATGATTAAGTGAATTTGGCCTTTGTGTTCCTCATATTTATATTCCTTTGAAACAGGAAGCCATGCTTTTTTTACTTCAATTAAAGGTTAGATTTTTTTTTTTAATGAAAGATCAAATGGATAAACAATGCAAACTTATTTTCAGGGCTGCCTTTGATCGTATTTACCAAGGGTATGAATAATTTTGAGCACAACTGTATCTATGAAAGTGCATTTGTGTGAAGTGCATGTCATCCATATTGTCTTCAGCAGAAGACTCATTCCCCAGGTTCAGCTCCTTCCAGTGTCTTGATCCTCATGATGTTCAGAAGTAGGCCTACATTTGGCACATCCACACAACTTATCACACTAGAAAAAAGAAAAGAAAATATTGTTGTTATTCTAATATAGCCTATATAAACACATTGGTGCATGCCAATTTTTGACTCTTAAAATAAATAGGCTGCAATAATTTCTGTACTTTTATACAGGAAAATCGTCCTTTATTAATAGTTTTGAATTGAATGACCTCATTTACTAACTGGAGATTTATGTAAAAGTTAGAAATGAACTATATTTGTGTATAAGTGTGGCTGTATAAAAAATTGGATTTAATTGAAATAAAGTACTTGGGAGTCTTAAAGTAGTACTTGAATTTGGATAAAAAATGTGTGTTAGGATAATCCAGTATGTATAGAATTACAGGCAAAAAAAAGGTTTGACTTCTTGTGACCTTTTAAAACCACATTGGCGACAATTTACATCCGGATGAAGCTGGTTCCAGCCTATTCCAAGTTGCTGCTTCCGCACACTGTCTGACACTGCGGTTGTGAAATATATCAGTTTATTCCTTAAAATCCACAATAAGCCAAGAGAAAACAACGGGATTACATTACTGTAGTTTAGTGTGCTCTTGTTCTGAGCGCAAAGTACACAAATACAACAAGTCCATGGATAATCGGAGTTCAATTTTCGTAAATACGTGCCATCCAGTCGCAGAACCAGGTTGTTTTTGAATAAAACTCTGTAACGTTGGGGTTTAAAAGCAAAAGTATTGTCCGACGTCAGTTTCGTCTTTGGCCATTGATTTTGTTCGCTTGATGCTTTCCTAGTTAACATTTTGTTGTCAGTCTTTGGGGAGCTTTTGACCAGAAGATCTTTGGATTCACCATTTCTTATCGAAGATTTTCCTGAACAGTCCGTTTCAAATCGCACTGCAACGGACAAAACCCCGAGAATCTCCACTCGCTCCCTGTGAAATACGAATCCCCAAAGAGAGCGAAAAGAAGATTTGACCGAGTCTCCACATGTCATCCCGAGCCCATACACTGCCGCTGGAGGCCGCTTCTTGTTCGCCTGTTTTCTGGCGAGGATATTCCCCTGACACCGGAGCACAGCTGACAGCGCTGAAGCGGAGGGCGTCGAAGCCATCGCAGACTTTCTTTTGGGACTCTTGTGGTCCTTTTAAATGCAGTCCTTACAATTAACGCCGACTAAAATCACTCTTTATACTCTTTGGTACTGAAAGAGGGGTTGAGCGACCCCAGAGCCCGATTTTGATTCTGAGTGGCTCAGTTTATGTGGACCCAGCGTTATGTGGAGTCCCGCTACGAGACTTGCGTCAGATCGAGGGTTGTTGGTTATTCAACAACCTGCATGTGGGCAAAATCGTGTAGGCTACTTCACATGTCCCCCTCGTGTACACAGTGTGCGAATTAAAGTTATCTTCGAGAGGACACTACCTTTAATTTTAAAGCACTTGCAGGAAATCAGGAAAAAGGAGGTTCCTTCAGGCAACCCAATTTGTTTAAGGACGTATCGCTAGTAGCTACTATTAGCCAAACGCCAAATATCTTTAGGACATTTTAAACTACCACGGGTTTTTCACATTATATATGTGAAATGTACATTTAGTAACAATATTGACGATTTGTCAAAGGTCCAGTTCAACAATCGCTCTGTTGCTGGTTACCTGATGAGAAGAACACGATTTCTGCTAGTCAATTTATTTTTTCGAGAGCATTGTTTATGTCTTTTATTTAGAAAAACAAATGTAGAAATTTGAACCAAGATTATATCAATAATAATTTCCTAATTTAGCATTAAAAATAAATAAAATATAATACAGAAAACAAAATTAAAAGGAGCAAAAACATAGCCTCTAACTAAAAACTTGACAATGATCTTGACAGGCTGACAGATAGCCTACTAGCTATGTTGTATAAATAAACATGTGCCTTTGCACAGTTATGAGGACATAATGTCCCAAATAATGAACTGAACTGAACATATGCTATATTTTGACACTAGGATGGGTTCCGTCTCCTTGTGACCCTGCAGAGGATAAAGCGGTGGAAAATGGATGGAATGGAGGAGAAATGGACAAGTAGGCCTGCATTTAAAAGAATACGGAAAGCAAAATGCGAGTCTAAAACTGTAACTTGTAAATGTCTGCACTGTACAGAATGTACACTGGAGGGCATTTGAGCTCTCTTTTTGATAGATACCTATTGATTAATGCAAAACAGGACTGCGTAATGACTGGATAGGGAAACTGACAATTTGGCAGAACCAGCCTGATACATGGACCAAACATTGGGCTAAATAATGTATGAATAGCACATTTTTGTCCTTTAGCATCAATACCACAAACCATATAGATAAGAAATACATGAAAATACATAATTATTCATGAAATCAAATGGCATAGTAATATTGTATGATAATATGATTATTTAATATTATCCAGCCCTTTAAAAAAA